AAACCTTATCACCATATTCCAGTATTTAAAGTGTGGCTGCACAGAAGATGGAAACTCCCTTTTATTCAAGGAATCACATGGGAAATATGGGGGATAATGGGTGCAAGTTACTCCTGAGGAGATTCTGACTGGACATTCCCAATGAAAACAATCAGCCATTGGAATAATCTTCTCAGGGAAGTGGTGGATTCCCCAACATTGCACACTTTTAAGATTTAGCTGCACAAAATGTGCCATCTTGTCTAGACCGTGCTTTTGCAAAGAAAGGTTGGACTAGATGATTCTTGAGGTTCCCTCTAACATGGTAGTCTATGAGTCTGTGGTTCTATGCACAGATAGAATGTCTGTACATCTGGATTTACTTTATCTGCACAAATAAATTGAAAAAAGCCCAAAACAAAAAAAAACCAAAAAAAAAAAAAAAAAAAAAAAAAAAAAAAAAAAAAAAAAAAACAAAACAAAAAAAAACAAAAACCTCAAACAACTAAATCACTCATCTGCCTGCTAAACAAGTCAGCATTCCCAATCTGGAAGCAGATGCTTCCACCCAAAACACCTAAAAGTCAGCCCTTGTATACTTCTTAGATGCAGAATAGCTTATATTATGAAAGATATTTCACCACCTCAGCATTGGTTGATTGGTCTTGAGGGAATTTCTGAAGTCTTAAGTCAGTGGTGTACAACTCCAGGGTAATAATTGTAATAATTTTGCCTTCCAAGAAATTTTCTCTAAGTCCTATTTTCAAACATGAAGGCATTTTTTTAGCTCTTCAGCATTTTATTTCCAATCACATCTGTCCAGGCCAGAATTCTTGTCATCATATTTCTGTGTAAAGGTGCCCTGGCTAAGGGCAGAATGTATTGAAACTGCCCAAGATGTCACAGTTTTCTTCTGTATTTCAGTTGCCCTGAAGTGTGGGATGGTGACTTTAGAAAATACCGTTTATATGCAGAAGTGTAACAGAGAAATGTCATAACAACCAGTTGAATAAAGATTCAAAGAAAGACTAGCCCATCTCCATCCCTAGGAAGACCCTAAAGGTAGGACTGCTCGCTGTAAAGCAATACTTTTCTCTTGTGACTCAAAAATTTTTGTGTCTAAAATCAGAGTTTTTGTGTAACTTGGAAAGGGAGAGCAGTTCATCAGCTTCATAACTCCTGGACAGATGTTAGGCATGCTGTTCTGTTCTTTGTTATGCCACAAGTTGCTTAGTCAGTTGTCAGATAGCAATTGGATGTGAAATGCTATTAGCGCTTCACAAACACAATCAGCTAAGCAACAGAGCTCATCCCAGACGTGATTAAGTGAGATCAATTATAATAAGAACTAGATAAGAGAGGTAAGCTTCTTGTTCCTTGGGTTGGTATTCCGCAGTATTAGCCTTTGTAAGTATCCTTTATACATCATCAGCTGCAAAATCTTGATTACTTCAGGAAGTGGCTTCTAGACCAGCATTCAAATGAACTTCATCCTGAACTGATTATTCTAATGCTGCAACTGCCACTGAGTGGGGAAACAGCTTATTTGAAGCATCAATTGCACCAAACAGAAAAACAGCCATTGAAACCAGTGTTTTGCAGTTCAAGGAACATGTTTCCTCTCAATCTCAAATATGGTTAAATATTCTGAGGGACAGCTCTTTGTGTCCCAAGAAGGGAACAGCTGCCCTTCATAGCATCATGTTTTCTGTGGCACTACTGCTATAGTACTTAAGGCTTAATGTGCTAAATATCAGAATTGATACATTATTCCTGAAAATTCTGACATGAAGTAGCACATCAGGTATTCACTAAATCTGAAAGATACATGAGAGTCAATTGCACTGGAAGTAGTGTAAATATACATATTACAGGAATAACAACATATTTGTGCTTTGTTAATCAGAACAAGGAAGCTGGTAATGTAGGAATAGAGGGGGCCATATGAACAAACAGAATAGAAGAGAGAAATTTTAAAAAATAGTCCATGTCTAAATTGAAGAAAGAGACCCTTGCCCATATCTTTGAACAAATATGTTTAGCATAATTTTAATTTCTTCTGTGGCTTCTGGTTCTTGTCATGGAGGCTTTTTTTTTTTTTTTTTTTTTTTTTTTTTTTTTTTTTTTTTTTTTTTTTTTTTTGTGATACAGAAAGACTAAATGCAGGATGCCTATCGTACCACAACAATTGGGCTGTTCTGGACCATAAGGTTTGACCAAAAGCCTACAACTCTGTTTACTTGCCTATTTTTATTTTTTTTTTCAGTGAAGATTCCTAAGCTCTGAACTATTTTCATAAAAAATATTTAAGATCTTAGAAGACATGGTCCATGCATATCTCCTATTGTGTAGCACGGGATGTACTGCAATTTTCTGCTTAGTTAATAATCAAATCTGGTAAACCAAAATACAATTGTTCCCTCCCCTATTGTTATGGATACAACTCAGATGTCTTTGACCATCTAGGGTGGCACCTTTGTTGCCCTTTCAAGTGCTTTTCTACAGTTTTATCACTATGATAGTGATAAAGTTGTTGGGGATTGTGCAGTCTCCTTGATGAGCTCAGTGCCAGTGTCTCTCTGCTCTGGTCCAGTTCCCAGTGTTTTGTTTGCTTTGCTGGCCACTGTGAGTAATGGAGCAGAGCAGGACAGTTCCCCCTCACAGATCTTCTCTCTAATCTCTCCTTGGCAGACGTGTGGGATGGCTGTGACCTCTTCTGCAACCAGTGCAAAAGGTTTCTGTACTCAATTCCAAAACAACTGTTAGCCTCTGCCTTATCTTTTCTTGCTCATCCTCCCACATTTTTTATGGGTTTTTTGATAGAGTAATGCTTCCCTCAGATACTGGTCCACAGGTCTCTTTGATAATATTCCTGGTGTTAAGTCTCTTTCAAATCACAAATGGCCATTTACATTTCATCGCTGACAACCAACAAGAATTCTTCTCTAAAGTTCAAGATCAATTATTATTAATTAGTAGGGAAGATTCAGACATTTCTAGGATGGATTCTTTGGTCTATGTTATGTTAAAATATGTGAACATAAGTGATTTCTTTTGGATCATTCATCCTTGTAGCAGTGCACTACTTTTCTCTTATCACATGGTTTATAATTATTTGCTGCCTCTATCTTCTTTTGTTGCAGCGGAACGTATTATCATATATACACAATACTCTTGTTTTTTGGGATTTTTTTGTGTGGCCCTTTACCAAAGATTTTTGGAAGGTTAAGATGTTCTTTACCTGCTGATGTCACCTGCAGTCTTGGAAATATTTGATAACTGTAGAAAAATAAAATAGGAAGAAAAGTTATGATAGAAGTGAGAGCTATTATATTATTCTATTGATGTTTATTTTATTAAAATAAAAGCATTTGATATATGACATTTTTAAAATTTGAGCCTTTTCACAAGACATACTTGTGGCACCAAGAGGTTTTAACATGCATTTTGAAAAATTATGCACCCAGGAAAGAAAATGTAATCTGTTGAGGCGAACACCCCATGTGTGGAGACATGAGGCTTGACTCCATTTTCTCAGAAGGCTGATTTATTATCTTATATATTATACTAAAATACTACATTAAAACTATACTAAAAGAACAGAGAGAAAAGATGATCAGAAGGCTACAAAGAACAGGAATAGAATAGAATGCATAACAAAAAGCTTGTGACTGCTCACAGCCTTGGCACAGGTGGCTGTGATTGGTCATCAATGGAAAACAATCCACATGGACCAATGGAAGATGCACCTGTTGCATTCCACAGCAGAAGATAGTTATTGTTTACATTTCTTTCCTGAGGCCCTCAGTTCTCAGGAGGGAAAAATCCTAGGAAAGGATTTTTAATAAAATATCATAGCTATAGTAATCTTCTCTTTTCTGGTGAAAAACATGTATTTAAAGTATTTTTGCCCAAGAGAGTGTGTCTTACGTTCCACCTTGTCCACTAATTCTTCAATGTAGGTATCATCTGATCTTTCTGAGAAAGATCCAAGGAACACCAGGTCCCTCTGGATGTCTCATCCTCATGGTTGGAGTTTAACTTTAAACTAGAACCATGAGATTTGGGGTGGGTTCATTTCCAGCAGTAATTGTTACAGTTTGGGGCATAGCTCCTTCCTGAGAGACTTGCTGTGACCCCAGGTTCAGCCTTGCAAAGTATTGAATTCTGTAGAGTTCTGACTGCATCAGTTGCATTATTCTGCATTCTTCTTTGGGGTGAAGCAAAATTAATAATTTCTCCTTAAAACTTCTTGTGGACTGTGGTGCCCACAAAGCCTAAATGAAACATTTTGATGCTTTCCTGGTGTCCCTTCTGGTCCCTTGAATACTTTTGTGCATCAATTCCTGAGTACATTCTCACCTTGGAGCTTCACTTTCTCCTCTTGGACTATGGGAATGGCTGCAGTAGTTCATAAAATCCGGTGGTTTTGCTTCTGTTTGGTGTTTCCTTTAAAAGATTATGGTAGGGGATGCACCGCTCCCCCCATCCTTGTATAATGCTCTTGTGGCAGATCAGTTAAAAATTAATTTCCAGGAAAGGCACACAGAGGGAGATTTGTTAGTGATCTCTTTGTCTGATTCCTCTTTGCACCGGATTACTGGAGCCTTCTAACTCAACTGTGTAATTACATTGGGGGTGGGGGAATGAACACAAGTCTCCACCTGTCTTCTCACCTATTCCCTAAATTCTCAGAAGGTAACTTAGGATTGTGCCATTAGCTCGTGACATATAACTGTTAACCATTACTTTAATGTAGGTTAGTACATAGTTAATCTATGTAAAAGAAAATTCTATCTTTCTATGTGCAAGCAACTATTTATATGAACCTCTGTTGCTTTGAAGAACATATTTTTCTGCCACAGGACACTAGAAGACTGGGAGATGAATCCCTAAAGGAAGAGTTCCCATTCTGCAAGTTCGATTCACTGAATATAAAAATAGTAACTACTAAAATATATTTAAAATCTGTACCATAGCTGCATGTTGTATTTACTGTGCTCATTTATTTCATTCTTTAGGTTTGAAGATGGTACAGTCTCTTTTCTTGATATCATTGCTCTGAAACACGGATTTGATGTTCTGGAAAAACTCACAGGTCAGTTAATATAGCTCTAATACTGAAGACTGCATTTCTGGATTTATGCTCAGGGCACAGGTCTGATCATATTTCTTATGGCTCTGGCTTAATTTTTCTTTCTAGTTTTACTATCTGTGTTCATCATTGTGAAGATGAGACTTCAGTGTAACTGGCTTGTTCGCATGCTCCCTGTTGGATTATTGGGGCCTGGTTTGAAAGGAAAGAAAGGATCCAGACTGTTCTGGATATGCAAGATTTGAGTACATCTCATTTGCCTGACACTCTCAAAGATGCAATAGGAAAGTAACACTAGAAAGTAGCTGAGTAACTCTGACTGTTTCAATCAACCTTTGAAGCCCTTGATGTGTAGCTAAAACTGAAGTCCCAAATAAAACTTCAAGCTGATCTTCAAGCCAGAAGCTGTAGGTGAAGGGTGATATTCATGTGTCGTGAGAAGGCACATTCCCTCTGGGATAGACTGCTGCTTGTCTGGCTCAGCACCCCAAAAGCACAGTCTCTCTGTGTTTGCTGCCATGGGTCAGGGACTCTCCTGAACAGGGCAGGATATGACGCCTGGCCAGGGAGGCTTGCACCACAGGCTGTGCAGATGTACCATGGTATGTTTCTACATGTAGAATGTACCAGGTTAGCAAAGGACGTTCCTGAAATGGGTTTCTTGATCAGATACGTGCATTACTCAATGCGTAATTGTCTGAACCTCCCTTCTCCAGTGCACTCTTCGATTTCCTACATAAAGTCATAAAGTACATCATGATGTAAAAGACGTTTGAGTCCAGAGAGACATTGGCTATGTACTTTTCAGGTTAGTATAATTTCAGCTAGTGGTCTGTGGAGGTTTATTGTCATGATTTATCTGAGGGGCTCTGGTTTCTTCTCCCAGTGCAAGGCTTCTGTGAGGAGTATTCTGTTAGAAGCTTCAGGTCTAGTTCATGTGGAAATCAATAGCAGTTTTCATCCACATCAATAGTCTGACTAAGCCCAACAAGTAAGGATGTTTTATTTTATGTTGCTCAACATGGAGACCAGGGATCAGTAACGAGCCTTTAGTATATGTTCTTGTAGTACAAAATGCTTCTCAAATATGTGCAATCTTAAAAAAACATGTTCACTTGTAAAGAGGGCTTTGGTTTAATGTGGAGCATTGCCTGCCATGAATGTGAGATTTTATGATAGCACCTCTTCTGTTGCATTTTTCGTCCATCTTAACCTGTTATTCCTACCTATTTTAGCTTAACAATTGAAAAATCTCTTAATACTAAACTGAGGGGAACACTCAGCCCTGAAACTGAATAAAGTGAGTATCAGTGGATGACATGGTAGAAGAGAGGCATGAAAAAATAGTGTTGAGATCTTTCAGTTGTCCAAAATATGAACTGGCTCAAATTTTCATACTTACAATTTTTTATAAAGAATGAAAATAAAAAATTTAGGAATATTTATATTTTAAACACTTAAAAACATTTTTTCCCACAGTGCTAAAATGTAGAAAGATGGGAAAACATTGACTGAAAGAGTAAACAAGAAGAAACCTATATTGGAGAGGAGAAAATTGAAAAATTAAATAAAAAATGGTTTTGACAAATACTGTAATTTTAAAACTTCAGGGCTGCTGTTATAGTCTAGGTACTTCAGTAGTCTCTGGTCAAATTCTGGAGTGCCACATTGAAAAGCCAGAAGTGCCAGCACTGCCTCTGTACAGATATAAGAGATTGGAGAAATCCATAGTGGAAGAAAAAATGGAATTCTGTAAAGGATTTTAATCACCACATGATCCAAGAATTTTCTGCAAAGTTGGGCTGGTCCTAGACCATTTTCCATGAACCAAGATGAATTGAGCTCTTATTCCAGATAAGTAGGACCTTGCAGCATGTTCATGCTAAAACCTTTGTGATTATGCTTACATGTATATGCATGTAAGTAGAAAAATTTCCATGTAACATGTTTTTGTTAATTACAATTTAATCATACAGAAGGGAAATTAAACAAGCCACTTAAAGACAATAGTAGAATGTAGCCCAACTACAGTCATGTTTGGATTTTTCCCATCATATAATGCATTTTTATGTGTCAACTTTTCAAAGCTGATGTGAAGGGTGGCTTAGCCATATCAGGTCTCTTGGCTCTTCTGTGCTGGCTGTGAAACAAAGGTTTTGGGGGCTCTGCTCTTCAATTTGTGTAGGCATTGAATGTTCCTGGCACAACTGATGCAACAAGAGATTCAGGGATTTGCAGTTGCCATTTCCTCTCACCATCCTTTTCTCCCCTGAATGTCATTGACAACATGGAGTTTTGCAGATTATTTAATTTCTGTCAAAGGCACAGTATTCCTTTTGAACAGAGATTATTAGCACTTGGGTGTATACAACAAAGCCATTGCATGCTGTAGAAGGACTTTGTGATCCAGAAGGGCTGCTGATTTGTTTTAAGCTTCTTTATACATATTTCTTCCACTTCAACTGTCGGAGTTTTCAGTGGCAAAATGCACTGTCAAATGTGAATCACTTTTGAATCTCACTTTGCTGTATCTACTGGAGCACTTGCTTTGCGCTCCCCAAACACAAACAATGATTCTCATTCTGGGTTGGAAATAGACTAGAGTAGAAACAAGCAAAATAAACAAAGTGTTGTTGTTATTAATCGTGTCCTAATGTGTAATAAAAGCAGTGCTGAAGTTCTTTAGGGATGTGCTCTATCTGGATTATTCTGGTGTAATTATTGAAGATAGGGAAGAAAATCACTAATGGAAAGTAACTCAGAGTTTTGGTGTTAGTCAGTGTTGTGAAACATACAGATCAGTTTCCGACTCTGATATCATCTGAATACTTCCTTGACCTGTCTCAACTACCATTTAGAATAAGGCATATTTCCTGCCAGAATTTCATAATGATGTGCCTGTGTATTTAAACCATTCCCAGAGGTCTTACATCAATAAGATTTTTACACTTATGGTTTATGGTATGTAGTTTTATTAGTAAATTTTCATCTGCTTTAAAAATGAAACTAAGTCACATCATTTGTGCGTTATTGTTATAAGGTTTACTTTGATTATAATGTCTGTTCGGAAAACATTAATTCACTTCAGAAGAAAATATAATATGTATGGGAAGAAATTTTAAAATACAGACTAAGTCTCCTAAGGATGATGAATTGAAAGTTGCTTCTAATTCACCAGATGCTTGATTGGTTGTTACAGAATAAAGGTTATTTTGGCTTTCATAAAGACAATTGTACAACAAAACAGCCAAAGCAAAATGTAGTGCAGGATGTTAAATTGTGACGGTAACTTAGTTTTTTAACTTGCTCTTTGGAACTTTTGTTGTGTTTTGCTCTGCTTTATCAAGGTGTGGTTGCAGTCAGTGATGGGATGTTTGGCAGCCTGCATGTAATGGTACTGCACAGGTGTGTTGTGTTTAAACACTCAAGTTTATATAAATCATCCAGTTCAGGGGCGAGAAAAAAACAATGTTCTAAATAAGATTGTCATGGATTTCTGGGATTTCTTTTGTGTAGAGTTTGCGGCTTCATCCTACTCTTGTCCGGTCACCTCAACTAAACTTGCACCATGTTGCTTGTGTATTTTACTGCTTTCATCCTTAGTGCTGCTTTCATTCATAGTTTTAATGGATTTGGGGTTCACTAATATGAATACCAACTATACAGTCTAAATATTTTGCAAGTGTGTGTAACTTTCTTTCTACATGTGATATTATAATAACAAAGTCGGGTTTCCTCCTTTGCATCAGATGGTTGCTGTAAAACTAAGCCATGGCCTACTGATGAGTCAGAAGCTCTACAGAGAAATCACCTGCACTTGTTCCCTTTTAGATTTGCAATATGAGATTAGGTTTCACTGTGAGGACTTTTACTTGTGTTTCATCTGTGTGGACACTGCTGAATGCTTCCATTGAAGTCAATGGGGCCGTGAAAAGTCTGGTATAATGGCTGGGAGATAGGCGAGGAATTGGGATACTTGAGTTCCTTTCCTTGGCCACAAAATTTACATGATATTTATGAAATCACATAAATAGTAATCTTTAAGAGGGGAGCAGGGAGTTAGGTAACCAAATATGTTTTCAGATCTGCATTTAACCGCTGGATGGTATTTACCTTATCTTGCTGTCAACACTGAGGTCTCAGCTAATATTTTGAGTCTCACTGAAATCAGTGGAACAGACAGTGACTTCACCAGCCTGATCCCTCTGAATTTTTTGAAATTTAGAATGAGAGGAGTTAAAGCCAGCAATATCAGCTCTTTTCTTTGTCTATTAAAGGAGCTTAAATGATGAGCTTAGTGTGGTATAGGGCATTTCTTTAATTTTATATAAGTTTACTGCTAATGATCCCTTTGGGACTAGAAAGCTGAACTACCAGATTAGTTAAGGTGGAAATAGTGTTTTGGGATTTTTTTGCTTCCCTCAGATCTGCAGCTTCTTTTGAGCAGGGCAGGTTCTACATTTCCTGTGGCTGAAATAAACCAGTAAAGCATAGCAGGAAATGTTCTGGAAGAACCCTGAGGGGAGGTTTTGCATTTGGGAAACTTTTATCTCTCCATTACTCTAGGAGTGATTTCTGATTTCCAACATATATTTCATGCTTCAAATCCAGGTTTATTCAGGTAGATGTTGCTTTCTCTGAAGGGGAAAGGCTCACAGTCTGACAGCAAACTATACTGCAAAAGAAAAAAAAAATCTGTCTCCTTGGTGCAAATGTGCCTGTTATGGTAAAAAAAAAGATGTCTTATACGAAGAAAGTGTGCATACATCTGATTTCAGAAGTCTGTGGTGGTTTTAATTTTCAAATGTCTGGTTATAGCAGATTAGGAGGAAAGAAAGCTCAGCTGGTTCTTTTGCATCAAAAGAAGCCATTCTTGGGACCGTGGTTGTGGTTAATTTATTAGGAAGAACAGGCTTAAGTGAGCGTGCATTTACTAATGGCTATGGATGAAATTAAAACAATTACAGAGGCAGTATTATAAAATGAGCAAGGAGGTGAGGCAG